AAGTATTGGGATGAACTTTTGTTATTGACCAAATACTTATTTTCCACCATTATTTGCAAAAAAWTTCTTTAAAAGTCAGACAAAATGATTTTCTCAAATTTTTTTTCACATTTTGTCTCTCATAGTTGAGGTCTACCTATGATGTCAATTACAGGCCTCATCTTTTTAACTGGGAGAACTTGCACAATTGGTGACTGACTAAATACTTATTTTCCCCACTGTAGATACACAAACAAAAAGAGAGGAGCTAAACACAACAAAGTCCCTACTGCAGATGTATAGTTGGGGTGAAGAACCATGTTCATGTTGGAGGAGGAGAGAAAGTATAGTCATGCTGCAGGAGCAAACTGGCCTGAACTGATTCATATTTAGTCATTTTAAAAAAATGGAATGCAACATGACTTTCACTTTTCTTGCAGGCCTCAAATGAAATGCCATGTAGTAATACAGCTGAGAAACCTCACATCAAAACAAATTATCCTGCTGAGTGGAAGACATACACCAATCTGTAAGATTATGTGATAAAATAAATTCTCCATCTTCTTCCATTTTTCAAACGTCAGATAGCAGAGGCAACAGGTCCAGGAGAGAAACCCAGACATCCCTCTCCCCAGCAACACTTTCCAGCTTGTCCTGGAGGACCCTGAGGCGTTTCCAGACCAGAGAGGATACATAATCCCTCCAGAGATTCCTGGGTCTTCCCCAGGACCTCCTACCAGTGGAATGTGCCTGTAACACCTCTAAATGGAGGTATCCAGGAGGCATCCTAATCAGATGAACCACCTCAACTGACTCCTTTTGATGTACAGGAGCAGCGGCTCTACTCCAAGCTCCCCCCAGATGACAGAGCTCCTCACCCTCTCTAAAGCTGAACTTTGGCCAACCTACAAAGAAAGCTCATTTCGCCGGGTTCTTGTTCTCGTTCTTTCTGCCATGCTCCATGCCTCATGACCATAGATGAGAGTTGGAACTCCAGGAGTTGGGTTCCAGAGCCCAAGCTGTGAGTAGTAGTGAGCCCAACTATATCTAGTAAGTAGTGGTAATGCTCAGCCTCACCTACAAGCTCTGGCTCCTTACCCATGAGTGAGGTTACGTTACATGTCCCAAGAGCTTGTCTGTGCCACCAGGAATCAGCATGGTCAGCGACCCTCCTTCTCCTGCTTCCTGGCATTCCACCTGCCCTTGATGGTCCTCCCTGCAGGTGGTGGGTCCATGTGGAGGTGGCTTCCTGTTGTCCTTTCAGGCAGTGCTCCGGTAGCCAAGGCTAGACCACCAGGTGRTCGCCCCACCCCTGGCCTAGCTCTAGGGAGGTGCACCAGTTTCTCAATTCCAGGCAAGCTTTCCTGATGTGGATAATGTTCCATTTCATCAAGGGTTCTGAACCCCTCCACCAAGGCCTGTTTGCATTGGGAGACCCTACCTAGGATCATGGGGTACTCAAACCCCTCTACTGTGTTAAAGTGGTGATTCTGTGGAGGGGATAAAATAAAGTAGTTTGGAAATATGTTTGTAAAAATATTAAAGGATTGTGAACAAAGGTCTTCTGTTTTTGAGCTAATTTCAGTTGAAATTCAGTTTTGTGTTTGTTGAAGAAACCTTTATTTGCAGATACTACTTCTGCTAACTAAAAAATGAAAAATAAATACTTTATTTCACATTACAGTATTNCCCACCTCTGTTTAATGACGGACGGTCTTTCTTTACAAAAATGGCTTCTTTTACTCCTCTCTCAAACCAACATTCCTCCCTATCAAGAATAATCATTAAAGAAGAACCCGTCCAGAGGACCTATACAATTTTTTTTCCTTTGATTTTTTACCTGGATTACTGAGATGCATCAGGACATTTTAAAATATTGTTTATTTTAACATTTTCATTGTGAACACCAGGGAGGGCTTAGCCCTACTGGCCCACTTATACCAGCCGTCACTGCTTATATCTAAACKTTTTCAAAGCAGAACATATGAAGAGAAACTTAAAGTGGTGTAGCTTGGACTAGATAAGCCAAACATAATAAAAATTGAGCAAGAACACGGTTTAGCATTAAGGCTTGGCTACATGCTGTTAGCCATTTTGTAACAACTGCTCGTCCTAGATCTGAATGAATGYAATATTCTCACTGAATACTTTCTTCTAAACAAAGTGGAATGTGCTGACAGCTTGTGCAATTGTTTGTCATCAGTGTTACTTCCTAAGTGGACAGTTTGATTTCATAGAAGGTTGATTTACATGGAGTATTTGTGTTGGTGTTTATGGTGAACAAAACTTAATATAATATAAAAATACAGTATTTGTATGTTTTGTTTTGAATTTATTCTTTAAAAGGGGCAGATATTAAAAGATATTTTTCTTCTTACTGCTGCCTTTCATTTTATTTATATATTTTTTCTTCTGTTGTGCATAGTTTATTTTGTTTTTTTAATGAATACATTTTTAAAATAAACATATAATGTAATAATTAACTTAGGGCTGCAACAATTTGTTGCTATTAAAATTAATTGTTTTCATTTTAAATATATATTATAAAGCTCACTTGTAGCCATCTTCATATTGAATTAAATTTGTGCATTTATTGTTTTAGGTTTATGACATCATCTTGAGCCATTCACATTTATCTGATCATAGCTACAGTACTGCAGACAGACAGGTTCCTGCAGGATCACAGACAATTTTCTGAAGCAGCTCCGAAGACCATGGAGGCCCACCCAGTGCTGAGCAGGACCAGCTCTTCATGCAGGACACCTTCAGAGACTGCGACTCTGCTGAAGATTCTCATCACATCTCCTCTGACCACAGCTGAATCTGAGAGGAGCTTC